CTACGGGTGTTTGGTTCCATCTGCTACTGTTATGTAGCAGAAGAGAAAAGGAAGAAGCTGGATGACAAAGCAGAAATTTGTATCTTTTTGGGTTATAGTACATAAACAAAAAGATACAGGGTCTTCAATCCTAAGACCAAAAAAGTTATGATAAGAAGGGATATGATAATTGATGAAGCATCTCACTGGGATTAGAAGGATGAAAAGATAATCCCCAATGATATAAGTTATACTTCGAAACAAGCTCAAGAAGAAAATGAAGAATAAATAATCAAGAGTCACAAAAATCACCAAATAAAAGGACAAAAACCTTATCTGACATCTATGCTCAATGTAACATTGCTGTTGCAGAGCCAACAACTTTTGAAGAAGCTGCTTAACATGAGGTTTGAAGAAAAGCATCTCACTGGGATTAGAAGGATGAAAAGATAATCCCCAATGATATAAGTTATACTTCGAAACAAGCTCAAGAAGAAAATGAAGAATAAATAATCAAGAGTCACAAAAATCACCAAATAAAAGGACAAAAACCTTATCTGACATCTATGCTCAATGTAACATTGCTGTTGCAGAGCCAACAACTTTTGAAGAAGCTGCTTAACATGATGTTTGAAGAAAAGCAATGGAAGAAGAATTGAACATGATCGAGAAAAATGCCACTTGGTCTCTGGTTCCCAAACCAAAAAGTAAAAATGCAATCAGAGTTAAATGGATCTTCCGGCTCAAAATGAACCCAGACGACTCAATCAATAAGTACAAAGCACACCTGGTAGTGAAAGGTTATGCTCAATTTTCGGGAGTGGATTTTAGGGAGACATTTTCCCCAGTAGCAAGACATGAAAAGATAAGGATTCTGCTTGCTGTGGCAGCACAAAGAGGTTGGCATGTCTTGCACCTTGATGTAAAATCTGCTTTTTTAAATGGTGAATTGGAAGAGGACATATTTGTCAAGAAACCGATGGGATTTGAAGTAGAAGAGAAGACTGATCATGTGTATAAATTACATAAAGCATTATATGGGTTGAAGCAAGCTCCCAGAGCATGGTATGGCAGAATTGATGCATACTTGCTCCACTATGGGTTTAAAAGAAACAAAAATGAAGCAACCATATATGTCAAACACCTAAAGGATAGAAAAATGGTCATCATCTCACTGTATGTTGATGATATTCTCATCACTGGAAATGATGAACAAAGAATGGAGGAACTCAGAACACAACTGGAGCAGGAATTTGAGATGTCAAACCTTGGGAGAGCAACTTATTTTCTGAGAATGGAGATCGCGCAATCTGAGAAAGGGATCTTTATATCACAAAAGAAGTATGCGAGGGAATTGCTCAAAAAATTCAAGCTTAAAAATTGCAAAGTCGTATCTACCCCTCTCATACCACATATTAAACTGTCAAAAGCGGAAGAAGAAGAAAGGGTGAATGAGAAAGAGTTCAGGAGTATAATTGGTAGCTTACTCTACCTAATTGCCACTCAACCAGATCTAACTTATATAACCGGCCTGTTATCTCGGTTTATGAATTCACCAAGACAATCACACATGGCAGCAGTTTAGTATATCCTAAGATATGTAAGAGGAACCACTGATATGGGAATCCATTTTCAAGCTCACACAAAAGAAGAGCTTTTAGGATACACGGACGGTGACTGGGCAGGAAGTGTGGAGGATGCTAAAAGCACATCGGGGTATGTTTTTTCACTTGGTTTTGATGCGTTTTCATGGTCGTCAAAGAAGCAAGAAATTGTTGTACAGTCATCCGCCGAAGCTAAATACATAGTAGCACCAAGTATTGTAAATCAAGCTCAGTGGTTAAGAAAAATACTAGATGATTTACAGATGCTTTCCACTGAACCTACGGTCCTCTACATCAACAATAAATCAGCAATCGCCATTGCTAAGAATCTGGTATTGCATGGAAAGACTAAGCATATAAAGGTTAAGTTCCACGCTATAAGGGAAGCTGAAAAAGAGAAAGAAGTAAGCCTAGAACATTGTGCAATAGAAGATCAAGTAGCAGACATCTTTACCAAGTCCTTGTCGAAAGGTAAATTTGAAGAACTGAGGAAAATGTTGGGGATGACTAAAATTCTTAAGGAGGAGTGTTCGACGTAAGGATTTCAGTTAAAATAGAAATTTACTCGAAATAAAGTTTCAAATACAGAGAGGTGACAGAATGCATAAAGAACATTGACATGCATGCGGTTTAGGATTACGTTAAATTTTGTGTTTAAAGTTTGTTTTTGGTTAGAATTCGAATTATGTTTTTGAGTAGGACTTTAATTTATTTTTGTGTATAAATATCACTTCAAATCAATCAATAAAAAGTAAGTCATTTCTTATCAAATTCTCCGAGTTTAAAAGAAGCTAGAAAACAGAGGAGCATGCATAAGCATACTCTGGTTTCTTGCCCTCTCTCTCTCTAAATTCTCTCTTTAAAAATTACAGTAAAAATTGTGATCGGCTTGATTTAAAATCAACATATATAATAAACGTGAATAATGAAATCTAATTAATCGAGTACTTGTGGAATTATCGGAGCCACCATGTATATCGGTCATTAGATTTACTGAAAAAGCAAAACCTAAAAGCCAGAATCTCCATCCCTGTTACTTTTTTCCTAGGAGGTGCAAGAGACCCACGACAGAGAGGACAAGTCAAACGACGGTATTTTTCCCACCTTCGCAAGCAGGCGCCATGAAAACAGTGGTCGCATCTCAGATCTCTACTCTCATCTCCTCCTTTAATATTCATTAAACACACTGCGCATATTTCCCCACCTTTTTCACTGTTAATAATTTCGGCCCACTTTTTGCATTAAACTCGAGAATAAACAGTAACGAATCAAGAAATTTCATGCCCATTTCAAAATTCATAGGAATGATTGGTAGCTTTCAGCAGATGCCAAAGACAAAAATGGAGATAAGAGAGAGATTTGACAAGGTAACTGCAAATAAACTCATTCTTCTTCCTCTTCTTTCTCTCTCTTTTTTGACTTTCTTGATTTGGCTAAACAAGGCTGGCTAGAGGGAGGGATGTGAGGACATGCATATAAATATTGAAGAGATCTGGCGACACATGATCAATAAGATGAGACATTGATTGGTTAGTTAAATGTTATTTATATAATTAGATAGCAACCGGGTTAAACCTTCTTCTAAACTAATTCATTTGTTAATTATTTATCATTAAGAGAATCTTATGATTAATTAGCGAAAATTCTCTCTAATTGCAGAACTTGTAGGCCAGTTTTTACCACCTTTATACAATTTAATATTATATATTAACCTCTTATATGCCTTTTAAAACACACGATATATATGTATGCATATAGTATTATTAGAATTTAAATAGGCGTGGAGATCGACTTACTCTGTTGTTCACTTATTAAAAGTTGATATAACATGTTGGTCTAATTATTTGAGGGATTTGTTTTCACAAACATAATTAATAAGTGCAACCATCTTATTAAACTTACATATAAGAAATAACTTATTATATGATTTGTTCACATACGAGAAGTGGATAAAGATTCTCTTTATAATTAAATTTTTTAATTTGTGCTATAATTGAACCAAGATAATGATTCGAGCAACGGTTTACGAGGAATAAAGTTTCACAAAATTCATAAAGGTTTAGCTAGAAAGACTTTTACTGATATTATTTAACTCATGAACAAGTTTCCTAAAAGCATCACAGTTACACATGATGAGTTAATCACTAACACTTTGTACAACAATTACGTTCTCATTCATTTTTAAAAGAGTGAGAATTTCAATCTTAAAAAGGTCTTTGTATACAAAATCGAAGAAAAAAAAAAAAAAAGGATACTGGTGAGGGGGGTATATATAAAATTTTTCTCCAACTATTGGTTCATAGAGAAACTTTCTAAATCTATTTTACAAATATCTATTGTATGTATAGGTCATATACAAATTTAAATAACTAAAATATCATTAAAAATAAGAGATAAAGCATCTTTTGTTATAAGTAGTTGCATCATAATCTTATGATTTAAATAGCATAAGATAATGAATTTACATTAGTAATAAAAATTTGTGTGTTTTTATCGTAACTGTGTTATTAGGTAGGCAACTAAGATGCTGATGCACGCTTGCTTTGCTCACATCCTCCAAAACCAGGCCCGGTGCAATATGACTTGCCGATCCGATATCCATATTTTACCAACCTTTATTACGTGCTTGTGTATTGAACAGATTAATTTGACTAATTATGAAGTTCTCACATAGCCACAGACAACTGTTTGATAAACAAGAATCTGGAGAAGGTTGGTTTTCTTCTTCAGACATCATGTACAGTTGGAAAACACACGTTTATCAGATTTCAGTTTCAAAAGCATCAAGTAAAATATTGTTTGGTTGAAAAACAATTTCAACCTCTGAAGCAGACAGCCAAGTTGCTGCTCACCACCAAACATGGCCTTCCAATACGTTCTTTACACCTTCCCACTTTGAATGCCACACAATTTTATTTCTGAAATTTATTTCAAAACTCGATAATTAAACAATACATTTTAAAGGCTATCAACAAATTCTAGTTCACAAGATCACATGGTATGTTGCGAGATAAATATGTATGACAAAAAGATCAGCATCATATAATAAAGTTGAATTTTGTCATACTTGGACCGACTATTTTGAGTGTGGTCTCGGTCTAGACAGAACGAATCAGAATATATATATATATATGGATATAAATAATCAGTAAAGTTTAATAAATGTCATAAAATAATTCATTTGTTCTGAAGATTTACTTGGAATTTCCATTGATTACATTAGCCGTAGGATTTGTGCCCAGATCAAACACCATCTTGCAGAATTTTAACAAATTAAAATATATAAATTCATATTATTTTAAATAAATAACAAAAACCGAATACAAGTTTTTGCATAACGTTTACAAACTACTCCATTCTTTTAATTTTTCTTTTTATATTCTAATAAAATATTAAATATTATTATTTAAGTTCTAATATCAGTATTGTTCTATCCGTGAACAAGCTAATTATTAAACAAGTGGACTGCAATCATCGTAGCCACCACCTATCCCGATCATCAGAACCAAAGTAGCAGAAGTTGAACTCCAAAACCTCCATGGTTGCATCAGGACCGGCAGAAGGCTGAGCTATGGAGTCTCGACAAAGCAGACAAGTGGGTTTCCTCAACCCGCTACTAATCCATGCTCTGAAGCAAACTCCATGGAAAACATGATCACATTTTAAGTCTGCAATTTCTTCTCCTTCTTCAACCTTGCATAGACACACTGCACATTCTGCTTCTTCTTCTTCTTCTACTTTGCATCTGTAACCGCAGGTTATGAATCTCGTCTCTCCCCTCATTTCTGGCAACTTGTGCATGTAATTGGGAATCAGACAGTATTCAACCAAGAAATCAAATGCCCATTTCAAATGGGAAATCATCAACTTTATACGATTCCACATGTTTGATGAAGAAATGAATTTGAAAAACCAGAATATGCAACCGGATAAAATAAGAAGGAAAAACAAGTGAAGAAATGGGCACAAGCTCATCTCTTTTTCTTTTAATTTTTTTTTTTTAATTTTCTGACATTGAATGTGAAACCAGCATTTGCATATTTATAGAAGGAAATTTAGTGTTGTGGGTTTTGGATTTTCTCTTTGATTGCAGTGGGGTTTGGTGTCAATTTCCTGCCAAACCTTTATTGGACTTACATTTTCAGTTTCTCTCAAAACGTTTGAATTTTCTGTAACTTATATATTTTAGTTGGATGGTCCATATTTTTATTAGTGTAAAAATTTGTATTTAAAAAAATTTAGATAATTTTAAACTAATGTATGAAAATGTAACAATATCTATATACTTGTATATGGATTTTTTTATAAATATCTTGAAATATAAGATATTTTATTTTCCATTATTCTATGCTCACATGAATGTAGATTAATTACTATTTTGTTATTAATAAAGTTAAGTTAAAAATTAATAAATACATTTATTATTATGTAATTAAATTATAATTTTTTAGAAAATAAAAAATTATGTTGTAATTAAAGTGAAAGATTAAAGAATATTATTTTGGAACTGAATTTCTTAAAATTCAAATGAAGCAGACAAGCTTAAGCAATATTCTTGTTGTGGTAGCAACTTATTTAATGTAGGCTGGTGGAAAAATGAAATATTCGGTCTCGAAAATTTGACATGGAATAATTTAATATTAATTAAAATAATTTATTTTTTAATTTTTTGTGAATTTTTGAAGAAAATTAAGTTTTAGATCCATTTGAAAATATTTTCGACAATCATGACCAAAATAGAAATAAGAGATGACTTATTTGAAAAGAAATATAGAAAAATGGAGTAAAAATAAAATTTATAAAAGTTTAGCCATGTGGATCACCACGTCAGCAAAGTGACCAGTCTCCACGCGTCCACGCAGGCGATTCACGTACCACCAGATCCAACTACCTAGATCGCATCCCGCGTGCACGAACGACCCAGATCTATTTTCTCTTCAGGTGTGATAGAACAGTTGAATTTGATCAGATCATATGGTCCAGATTAATTCTCCAAATAAAAGTGATCCAACGGTTGAAGATGAGCCACGTCTCCTCGAACGGACGACCTAGATTTAATAAAGATGAGTATTTAAACTCCATTTCACATGGAATCCTAACCCTAGCAACTAGAGAGGAGATCAGAGAAGAAGAAGAGGGGCAGCCAGAAAGCGAACAAGTCGCCGGAAAAGGAGACTAGCCACTGTCGCTGCTGCACCGAAGCCACAACCGATGCTGAAAGGGTAAAAGTTTTTTTTTCTCTTTCACTCAGAATTGAATTTTGAACCTTCCCACACCCATATTGAAGCCAAAAGGCCAAAGGGTGAGCTAAAAATTGCGAGCGAAGCTCGGCCGAGCTGCCGCGACTGCAACCCGAAAATTCCTCCGATGTGCCCCTTTTCGTTTTTCGTTTTCCTCAATTTTTTGGCCGTTATGTTTCTCGTTTCATTATGTTGCAGGTTAATCGAAGAAAAGCCCCGACCACAAGAGAGGAACGGCGGAGCCGACGCATCGAAAAATTCCTCCACTAGTAGGGTCTCAGTTTTCCTCTTCTTCGGTTGATAGAGGCTCCCTAACACTGTTTTTTTACAGGTTTCAATGTAAAATCAGCCAAAACCAACCAAAAATGGCTAAGCTGAGAGGAATTGTAGCTGTGGGTAGTGGAGCCGATGCTAGAGCACCGCGACGCCGTACCAGAACCCTAAACGGGCTGAAAAAATTTGAAAATGCTTATTTTTGCCTTTTTGGGGTATTTTGAAATACGTGACGTGTGTTTTTTATTTTTGCAGAAAAAATCTAGAAAATTCAAGAATTGTCAGGAGGCGCAATAAAAGAGATGGTGTTTCAAACACCGATCTGGTGTAAGAATCTCTCACCTTTTTCTCTCGTCACGGTAAATTAAAGTCTAATAACTAATAACGGTGCGTTTTATAAAAATTAAAAATCTCTGAATTAATTACATGTCATCAGTGGAGTCGGAACCAATCAGTGCATAATTACCCTAGCTGTGTTGTTTATGTTCTCCTATACTGTCTAAATTACTATTGTTTATATATTTTTAATTATTTTTTTGTTCATTGATTGTTTGGCTGATTATTCTTACATATCGACTGATTCAAAGCAAATGCTCTAATTACATTTTTTAATATTTTTCATATTGTTTATTTTAATGGCTTATTGTTGATCTATAAATATAAAATATTAGTATGTAATTGGTGATTGGTTGATGATATGGATATAAGTAGGAAAGGTTATCGGGTACCTTGAGGAAGAGTGTACAGACCTAGTGTATAGAAAAACTCTACCGTGGACATTATCTCAATCGAACGGGGCTGAGAAGTCCCATACTGGAAGGTGTTAGGAAGTATAGTTCACCTTCATACTGGAGAGGGTATTGAGGTGATAGTATATTTGGCGCCCATTACCAGACAGGGTATGGAGACAGCCGGTTAAATGATAAATTGGATATTGGGTCCACGCTAAGGGAGATCCCTATGGACTCCCAGAAGTACTAGTAAGTGGGTAAAAATGTAAGTTTAATGTTATTGTTCACTTAAATGTGTAATAAAATACGATTCTGGTTATTATTTTAATGGGTCGGTTTTGGAAACTCATAAGGGTAAGTATGAAAATAACAGTTTTTATGATTAAACGAATTTATTTAAAAAGAGATAATAGTTTCATTAGTTATTTTACGATTTTTACCTATCTTTGATTTTCTGTATCGGTGTTAAACGTGATATTTTTACTGATTAGTGTATCTCATCCTCTTATTTAACTATTTCAGATCAAGAAGACCAATACTCAGATCCTGAGCAGCAGGAAAGGTGCGAATAAAAGTTTGTCTCTCGTATTTCACAATCTTTCTAAATATGGTATAACTTTATAATTACCATATGATACAATTACTAAACCTTATCGTACATTAATTACCCATAAAAAAATTAACCAAACACAACATTAATTATTTGTGGGATCCCGGGCTTTTGTAGCTCAATTTTTTTTTAATATATAGTTTTTTTCTTTTTTAAAAAAATAAAAAGAGGAAAAACAAAGAGGGTAAATAGGTAATTAGGTTTTTAAAGTATTGACAACTATATTTATTTTTTATTAGCATTAATTATTTAAAAAATAGTTGTTAATTTTGAGAGATATAAAAACATAGTTTTTAAATTATAAATGGTACGTATTGTTATGAGATTTTCTTACATATGATTTTATTAAAATATTAATATTATAATAATTATTATTATTAATTAATGAACTATATAAATTGTTATGTTAATTTTGAATTATTGAATTTTATTTTAGTGAATATGTAATTAATTATTATAAGTATGGGGAAGTTGTTCTACCTTACCCTAATAATTGAAGTTGGCACTTTGAATGTTCTCAATTGGATCCCACTCCTCTCCATCGTAGCTTGAACCATCAGTCACTACCCTAAAAATCAATGGATGCTCCCGATACGAAATACATACCTAATAATATTAATATTGTTTATTTATCATCCATATAACTTTAAATACATATACATACATATATATTAATCCCCCTTTACTTTATATATATATATATATATATTATTAAAAACACAACTTAATTATGTTGATAATGTGTGAAGAAATTAAAATAATTGAACATTAAGGAAACTAAAGAGAATATTATATATGATAATTAGGTTAAGGATAAATTAATAACTTCCTTGCTACATATTAGACAAAAAGGGGTGAAAAGAGAAAATTTTGTTCCATGTTCCAACTGCAAAAGAACAAACTACTTAGAGAGATATGTAAACAGGTTAAACATGTAGAAAAAATATGTAAAAAAACACAAGACGGATCAAAAGATCAAATAGCTTAAAATGAATAACAACAAAAAAAGAAGTTATTTGTGGCCACATGTTACTCAACGAGCTCATTCAATCAAACATAGCTAATTGATACTGGTTATAGTCATTACATGACACCAGAATAAGGGTTTTTAATAGACTGAACAAGTCATACATTTTGATAATCAATATAGGTAGTGAGAGAGTACTTAGAGGTAGAAAGAAAGGGAAATGCAATTTGGACAACTCCATTAAGTATGAAAACCATTTCTGATGTGCTATTTGTGTCTATGTTTGACGAAAATTTGTTGAGTGTCGATCAAATGATTAGTAAAAAATATTCTTTGATGTTCAAGAAGAAAACATGCTCTATAATAAATCTTAGTGGGCATAAGTTATTTTGGTTAAAATGAAGAATAATAGTTTTTCTTTACATTGAAATCATGTTTGTGCTAATATGGGTTTTGGTGGATGATGCCAACTTATGACATGAGATTTGGGCATTACAATATACAATCTCTTAAGGATTTGCATAGGAAGAACTTGGAAGAGAATATGCATTTTCTTAATGACTTGCCTAAAGTTTGTGAAGTATATGGATTTCGAAAGTAAAGCAAGCAAGCTTTTTGAAAAAAATTAAGCATAGAGAGACACAAAGAGGCTAGAGTTGATCCATATGGATTTCTAGCTCTTATGACCATTTGTTCTTTAAGCGGAAATAAATATTTCTTGATTTTTATTGATGATTTCTCAAGGTTTTATTGGGTATATCTCATAAAGTTTAAAATAAAGTATTTGAATTGTTCAAAAAGTTCAAGATGATGGTTGAAAACCAATGTGAAAAGAAAATCAAAATTTTAAGATTTGACAATGGCACTAAGTACACCAATAATAGCTTCAAAAAAATTTAAAAGCAATTTGGGGTTCAACACCAATTTACAGATCCTTATACCTTTCGACATATGATATAAGTTAGAAAAAAAATAGAACAATTATGGAGATGACTAGATGTCTCATTTTTTTTTAAAAAAAAATTGCTAAAAAGATTTTAAGTTAAGGCTATAAACGTGGTTATTTTTTGGCAAACAAATTGTCAATAAAATTTTTGAGAGACAAGACACCTTATGAGGTCTAGCATGGAACTAGACCAATAGTGAAACACTTTAAAGCGTTTAAAAGCATTTGCTATATCCACATTCTAGAGGCCAAAAGAGATGACCTAGAAGAGAAAACAAAAATTAGCATCATGCTAAACATCAATAATA